CTAACGACATTATCAAGGAGCTAGTCACTAAATTTTAGTTTCATATTTATATAATGTTTGTATACAATTTTACTTATGTTTTTATTTAATTTTCTTTTGTGTACGTATCCTATTAGTGTAACTATATATGTAATTTAAAAATAATTTGAAAATATCTATTTAAAGACAGCTGTAAATGCATATCTTATGTTTTAATACTGTTTCTTTAATTGTCTTTATCATAAATAAATCAATAATAAGATTAAAATTATCCAAATCACAGGAGTAGTGACTAGCCCCTTTGAAATATATTTGACCTTCTAGCGTTCATGGGAGCAACCTCTCGCCACACCTTGGTCACCGCATTAAAGCAACGGCAGCTATTGAAATAATCGACGCCATCAAATCCTCCGATAACGTAGATATCAAAACCAACTACCGCAAGTCCATGATAAGCTCGCGCACCAGTCGGATCTGTTTCCTCGATCTAAAAAACTCAAGATTTTACACAAATAAATTGTTAAAATTTTATTGAAATAAAGTAGAAATGTTCTTTAATTTTAGTACAGCATACACGGTTCAAGAATAATGCGAAGCTACAATTAATTTCTTTTTTAAGGATTAGATTAAAGATTCCCAAAATATATCATCGTCCCACTAATTGATCTATTCTTGATGAATCGCGCAATTTAAATAAGGCAATACAAATAATTAATTAATTTACCTCGCTTTTTCATATATTTGTTAAAACTAGATAGGTCGCAAATGTTTGCTGCTTTAAAAAATTATTACAATCGCGACACATGTTTAGGAAGCTCTAAACTGGATAAATAACAATTATTATTCATTTCTATATTTTTTTAATTTTTACACTTTACTTTTTTTTGCCTTGTTGCATTACAAATGACAACAAAAATTCAATCTAGCTATATCAGTATTTACATTTATTAAAATTACATTGAAAAACTGTAAAGTGTTTAATACTACCGGAATCCATCGATCTGCTCTTGTATCATACGTTTCGATATAATTTGTTGGAGAGCCACCACTCCATCCACCAATGGCAAACAGAATCTCATGCGGGACTCTGGGTCGTGCAATTTCCGGCGTTGGTACTTCTCCATCTTTCTGAGTAATCATCTCTAAATCATACAAAAACTTCAGAGTTTCGATGATAATGGGTCTGCATGCATCGTTGCCTACGACATAAGGATGATCTTTGACATTCTCCAGAAAAAACTGCGTATCTAAGAGACCGAGTCTGATATTCTTCATTAGATCAACGATATAATCTTTTCTAGATTCTGGATCGTGATTTATCCATCTCAGAACTAATTCCCAAACTGTTTGTTCGCTTTTAACATTTAATTCGTCAGCGCCGACTAACGGTTTCAGTTCCTCAATAGGTAAATGTAAAATTTCTTCACTTCTTTGTGACACCTAATGTAATGCAAGAGAAGTTAGATTATGAAGAAATGATATACGTAAATTATTATACTAGCCGCACCTCGACAAAATGTCCTACAATAAAACGGTAAGCATCATTTTCTAGCTTCTTGCAAAAATGTTGACGGGCGAATCTCATCACTCCAATACAATTTTCTGGTGCTAAGTTATCTCTTAGATAGTCACAGCATAAATCGAGTACACCTACAATGCTTAGATAATCCGCTGTGGTCAATAATTCACACACGTTTTCACGATTCACATCAATGGATCGTAAATATGCATATTCCAGCAAGAGATTCATTATTGGACTTGTCACACCTGGCAGAAGGACATCAGTTTTTTCACGAGAATGCAATGTAGTTGTAAATAATGTCCTGTAAAATTAATTTACTAATAAAGATTGTGACAGTAAATGTATATAATTATTGTATAATAATATTAATAACTTTGTTACAAAAAAATGTAATAACAAATCCAAGTAACAAATTATTAAAATATTATCATTTTTTTATTATTTTTATAAAGAGTAATTTTTATAAAGAGTAATTATTTTATTATTTTATTATTATTAATCAATTATTTTATATATAAATTCGAATAACTTAATATAAAATTCAGAGGCAATAAAATTAAACCTGATTAAAATTAAACCTGAAATAAGTACTGCATGCTGAAAGTATAGCTCGATGAATTGGAAAGACACCACCATCTTCTAATCTTAATATTGCATCGCAAAGCAGATTATTCTGTCGAAAATCATAAAGCGATTGCATTGCTTGTGTGCTCATACAACGGCCACCACTTTCGGCTATCAAACGTTGATTATTTGTATTATATTTTTCGTTTTTTTTGTTACTGGTAGTAGGCTCTGCATCCATATCAAAATTTGAATAATTGAAGGATTTAGCTCCCGCAAAGATAGCGATATGATTTATCACAACATTTAAATAGTTTAATTAATTGATTTCTTCAAGAGGAACCTACAAAAAAACAGTTATTAAATATTAAATATAAGGTGTTGCAATATTGCGAAAGATATAAAAAGGCCAGAAATTTTAAATAATAATTAAATATACTAATTAAAATTAAATTATCTTACTGATAATTTGAAATTTCATGCTAATGTTGGAAGTAAAATACTATAGGAAGATAATATTACTCAATAAATTATTAATAAATTACTAAATTGTATTGGTTAAATATACAAGTACAATATTATAAATATAAATTTAAATTACTTCAAAATTTATCTATAAAACGTTTACTAAAACGTTTTTTCAAAAATTTTATCCTATATTTATTAATTTAGCTTGCATACGTACCCAGTAAGAATATTTCCTAAAAATTTAGAGCAATCGCAGGAGGTTAACAAATTGTATTAATCGTATAGATTTAGTGACAATAGTTTAAAACTTGATAATTTTTTGATTTGGAATAAAAACGTGGTTACAACAAAGTCTTGTTTGCGATCAATTGCTGAGAACAATTAGCAATGGTTGAAAGGTACTGCCGTGTGTGTTCATATGTGCTGAGAATTTGGAATGTGTCAAAATTTTGACACGTGGGCGGGGGAGGATTGAAGACCAATTCGTAAACTGAAGAAATGCAGAAGAATGTGAAAGAGAAACGAGATTGGTAAGGGGATTGTAAGAGAAATACAAACTATTTTGTAATGATTTTAAAAGCGAATAAATATCGCGCTGGCAGTGACATGTGGTCTTACATGTCCGCCAATCAATCAAAGACTGCTGCTTGACAAAAGAGATCCTTCTATTCCTGTTTCATAGCGAGCTTGTGCAAGTATAAATTGTGTTAACTCATTTTAAGGATACAAATCGATAAATCGAGAAATTATAAAAATTTATAAAGCATGTCAGTCTTAATGTATCGATTAAATCAAGCAGCTATAATAAAACAATAGAAAAAAGAGGATTAAAACATTTTACAAATTTCATTATAAGTGTCTACGCCTAGTATATCAAATATATGTATATATATATATATATATATATATCATAATCAAATTTATAGTCATTTCTTTGCTTACTCAATTATTTCAATTGTTGAATTACAGATTTGCATACTTTTCTAGCAAGTTTCTAACTTTAATCCAACTTGACATTCTTAACATAAGAACATACTTCAATTAAATTACCTAGGTTGGGACTTACAAGTGGCCCAGTATCAGAATTTTAATATTGGCAAACTACTATATATCAATATTATCATAATATTGGAATGCTATATCTGGTCCAATATTAATCATTAATGTTATATCTATATTAGAAATTCGATATTGCTTTAATATTAAATATATGCTAGCTCAATATCAATTAACAATGTAAAACCAGTATGACTTTTAACAGTACTATCCTAGATAGGATAGAGAATAAAAAAATAATTTTTTTTATTCTCTTTGAATTATGAAATCTTTTCCATCCCTTGCCATTTCTGATTCAGAAATATTAAGAGTTCCAAAAGACTTTCATTTTTGTATTGTCAATTCTAGGTCCATATTTTGTATACAACAGTTGTCAGTGTCGATAACTAACGACAATAATCAATAATAAGGGCTATTCTAGGAAAAAAGCATGATTCTCGTTGGTTATACTTAACGATACAAACAACTGTCTACAAAATATGGGCCCTGAACTCTTTTACAAATAGAAAAGAAATTTTTTTAATTTATATGAATAGATTATATGTCAATTAACATTTTATTTACTTTTATAATATCTCGGAGCCCAATTTTGAGGGCCTTCAAAATATCTTATTATCATTTTATTAAAACATAATAATTATTACATAATACTGTGTCTTTTTATGTTGTGTTCTATCTTGTATAGTTTATATTTACAGAAAATAAAACTCTGTTGCATTCATATGATAAGTATATAGTACTACTCGCGCAAGATTCATTATTAGCATTAAGCTAATACATATTCGATCAAACAATTACTGTAAAATAGTAGTATTAATATCTGATGAATATTCGACAAACAGAATTGTCAGCATTACACCGGTATCATTCATGAGTGACAGACCAACATGCTGTCTTTTTTCTAATGTTTGTAAATCCTACTTAAGAACTCATTTTACGCTCCATTTTATGTTATCTTGTGATATATTTATGTACATCCAATCAGAAATGATAACAGAAACGTCGATTCCATTATCATTTCTGATTAGGCATATCATTCCCATATTTCAAAAATGACACAACTCAAAGAATAAGTTTCCTAGAAAAAAGGAATTATTATTTTTCAACTTGATAGAAAGTTATTGAGTAATCAAATAATATATTCTTAACATGATTAAACGTCATTATATCATGTTCGTTTCATAATCCTTAAAAAATAATCCTTTTTAATAACGTTTTAATTTTTTATGAAATTAATTAATTAAGTTAATTTACTTTTGATGATTGACAAGGTAATGTTTATCTAACTTATTTATTGTAATAACTCAAAATCATTTTTTTTGTTGTGTCACTTTTTAGATAAGGGAACGATATATATATGCATTCGTCATTAATTAAATTAATTATAAGAGAAAAATCTATTTAAATAGATATTATATATTCCTTTTTTACACATATTACACTAAAAATACACGTCACGTGCTAGACTTTGTCAACTGCAATAACATCAAATATTATCCAGATTCGAGACATCGAGTATGTGTTGCAGATTACAAGTACACGTGTTTATAACTATCTTAACGTTGCCATAGTCTTTTCTTTCATCAACATAGTCATCCTCCTCAACTCCTTCATCGTTTCTCGATTTTCTCTTTCTCTCCTCCCAACCTTCGGATATACTCTTCTGCTTCAACGCATTCTCGTACTTACAACCCGATCGTCTGCAGTTGTGGACCAAGCAGGCACTATTATCTGGCAGTAATTGCCTGTTAATCGGCAACATAGATCCGACGGAGTATGATGGAGTAACAAAACCATTACTTCTTGAAATACTATCAAAGAATACGTTCCATTTACTAGCAAAGGATTCATATCCTTTTGTGGCATGGTTTTTCGATTGCATTGTTCTTGACATGACATCTTCCCTCTTCGATACCTCATTTGGTTGTTCACCAAATAATCGGAATGTCCATGTAACTACAGCGAAAGTCGCCGCGTTCGTCGGAAACGCTCGAAGAATCGTCGAATTTAAGCCTCGATATAAACAGCTATATCCTTCAGCACGTATAGATTTCTTGAGACAATCTAAAGCTCCTGAATAACGATTACTACTTTCTGCTTGTATGCGCGATTTGATGACATCGATAGGATAAGAAATCACCCAAGAAGCTGTACCAGCAAGTCCTCCAGCCAACATCATATGAAACGTCGAGATCGGTTGCTTTGAGGACGTTTTGGTTAGCATTTCATAGGTCACGAAATACACACCATAACTCGGTCCTTCCCTAAGGAATGTAATACCTAGTCCTTTAAAGATGCCACGATAACCATCCTGCTTATAGATGTTCTTCAAGCACTGCATTGGTCCTTGAAAATTACCTTGACCCGTGGATTGCAATTGCAGACGTGTTTTTGCTAACTCTATTGGGCTTGAAACAGGAGTTTGAGCAAATCCGGCAGATGCACCAGCCAAGAAGTATGATGACAATCGATCAGGTTCAGACAAGTTCCGCTGAGTATATCCGTAAACACCGAAGACGATAGCGTTTACCACAGCTACCCCTGCGATTGGCGAAGTCATTCCTTTATAAAGACCAGTCACCTATATAAAAAGATATAAATAACAATATTGGTTTTACTTACAAATGTGAAAATGATTAAACTTTAAATCCAATTTGATGTAATAAATTACCGATTCTTTCGCGAGTATGGTTCGCAAACAATCCCAGGTACCTCGATATTTTGGATTGCAGTAGTCTTGAGTCTGCATGTGGACCTTGACCGTATCCAAAGGATATCCCACCATAATACCGGCACATCCTGAAAAATTTATGAGATAAATTTTATTATGTGA